AATATAATAAACGGGTAAAGTATTGTCGTCACATCCGGTATCTCGCTTCGGCTTCCGTCGCCGCGCGGCACGTGACAGGGGAACACGGAAGTGTTGGCACAGAAACACGGAAGTGCTGCACAGAACAGACGCACGGGCCCAGGCTGCTGGTTGTTGTCGCTCCGCAGCTTCACCGCGGCTCACTGACACGATCACGGACCTGATGTCTCTCACCTGAGGACGGAGACACTTCTGTGCTTTGTCACTCGGTGAATTAAAAATGGCGTCGGCGGCGTCACTCTCCTTGCTCCTCAGCTGCGTCACTTTGAGCTGCGCAGCCGAATTTAACAGGAAACCGAACATTGTTTTAATCCTCACAGATGATCTGGACGTCGCCATCGGGGGTTTGGTCAGTTCACTTTATTCATTTTATTCTTTTTTTTTAAATTCGCTGTTTCATCAGTGAGCGGGACGCTTGTGTTTGTGTCCCTGAGGAAACATGTGGGATTAATTGGTTTTACATTGGTTCCTGCTGATGCAGCTGATAGCTCACATTCCTGCCCGGACACATCATGTAGGACACACACACACACACACACACACACACACCCACCCACACACACACACACACAGTCAGCTGATACACACCCACACACACCTTCACATCAGCCTCTTATCAAACCAAACTCCATAAGAAAAACTGTGAATTTAAGATGTGTACAGTCTGATTGGTTTCCAGCTTTAAAATGACTGAGCAGATTCCTCTTGGTTTATTTTTTGTTCAGTAAGTTTTATTAAAGACAGGACGTATCAACACAGCTCACATAGTTTCACTGAAGAAGGAAAAACATCACAACAACAGAATTTAGTTTCAAAAGCTGTTAGAGTTACAGAGAAGTTGAAGTTATTGTTTAGATGTGTTTTCTCTGCACCTTTATTTTGTGAAGTACCTTGAAACGAGAAATATTATTAATACTTCAAGTAAACACGGCCTTCATATTGATTTATGTTTAAAATCAGACGACAGGTTAAATTAATTGGGACGCTGATAGAGAGTATTGTAAAACTGGGAGATGTCTTATATCTGTTATATCTGAAAACCATATTTACGAGAAGATGGTTTCATTTTACAAAAAAGGTGAATTGAACCAGTGTCATGTATTGTCAGCTGACTTCTGACTCAGAGTTTAATAACAACTGCTCCATCACTGAACCGAGTTGTGGTTGAAGGCTGTCAGACAAAAGTTTGAGTATGTCTGAGTGACACAGTTGGTAAAACGACTCATATTATTATTATAATATTAAACACAAGATATTTAACTGCAGCAGATTTTTCTCATCAGAACAAATAATCTTTTCCTTCCAGAGTCCACTCAAGAAGACGAAAAAACTTATTGGAGATGCAGGGATTTCATTCTCTAACGCAGTAAGTATCACCGCCCTTCATCCCTCACATCCTCACATCTCATCAAGCATCATTTAACGGCTTTGAGTAGAGAGTATTTTCCGCCCCTCTTGTCTCCTGCTTTGTCTTTCTGCTGACTTTTTCTTTCCCCTCCTTCCATCAGTTCGTTGCCAGCCCGCTGTGCTGCCCGAGCCGAGCCAGCATCCTGACGGGGAAATACCCGCACAACCACCACGTCATCAACAACACGTTAGAGGGAAACTGCAGCAGCACGGTCTGGCAGAAGAGCGAGGAGGGGCAAACCTTCCCTGCTTTGCTGAAAAACTTCGCCGGGTATCAAACCTTCTTCGCTGGGAAATACCTCAACCAGGTGAGAGACGACCGGACTCCGTAATCGTACATTTCCAGCCTCGTCCTCTGCCATGTTTATTTCTGTTTGGATAATCCTTATATCACCAAAACTGTGTAAAATATAAATATAAATATAAATTTGCGTTGATGAATAAAGGTTAAAGATACACTATGTAACTTTTAGTGAGTAACAGCGCCCCCTGCAGCCACGCGTGGTGATTAAATCTGTTGGGCTCCGTGTTTATTTCTGCTAGTTGCAGAACAAAGCAGATTGACTTTCTGATGTTGATTAAACTGCATTCGTCTTAAAATACAGCGGAGACTGATGAAGTAACGGTGATGTTTCCGTAGTGGGACAGTTCCTGTGTTCTTTGATTCAAAACAGTTTCATTTGAACATATTTATTTCTCATATTCTGTGTTTGTGTCATTCAACAGTGTGTATTTGATTGTGTGTTTCAGTATGGGCACTCAGAGGCTGGTGGGGTGGAGCATGTTCCTCCAGGCTGGAGCTACTGGGTCGGACTGGTAAGACTCAGACTTATTATACTTCTGAAACACACGTTTACTCTGCAGTTTGAGTCTGAATGAAGCCTTTAGTCATCAGACTGGTTCTGTCATTCAAAAACCTGAAGCTCTTACTAATTTACATCCAGCTCAGCTTGTTTCCAACTAACTTCGAATACAAGGAAGCTCGAGAAAATAAAGGTTTTGTTCTTAGTTTTGTCAAGAGATGACAAACTAAAGACATTTCTGTTGTTTGAGGCCCAGACCAATATTTCAGGACTATAATTTCAGTCTTTATTTAAGGATTTTTCTGTACTCTCCTGATTATTTGTGGGAAATGATTAACTTCTCTTGTTATCACCATCATCCTGGGTACAAGTCTCCAGAAATGGTCAATATGTGTTGTCAGAGTCTAAATAAATACAAGTATGGGGGAGAGAGGAATTCCTTTTTAGTTTTAAAATAACCAAACAAAAACAAGAATATAAAGTATCTCAAATGTCAGAATTAATCTTTAAAGCTTTGTATCGTCTAAACTCTTTGCCCTAATATTGTTAAAGAGGTCAAAGAAGTTTAGGTTTTTCCACACTAACTTGCCTGTGGGAAGTTTATTAGGAACGCTGTTCTCAGAGTTTACACGGTCATGTGACTGGACGCTCTCTTTAGAAGGAGCCAGACGAATAAATTGACTAAAAATAGATTTTCCTGAAGAAACAGTGCGTCGCTGACCCGTTTACAGGAGTCATGTAACAGAGGTCATGTGCAGAATAGTTTATCTTCACTGTTTCTGGCTGAGTAAACACAGATGTGAGATTGTATCACAGTGAGACTCCTGTGGATTACATGGTTTCTGCAGAGATTTAACTGCTGGTCATAAACAAATAAATAAATCCTCCCAGAACCTTTTACCTGCAGACTTCAATGTGCAAATTTGCTGATATCACTGATTAGTTGTATTTGAAGTATCATCTTTAACAACTCCAGGATTCAGATAAAATGTGTTTTCAGATGTGAACCTGAATCTTGCACGTGTGTGTAATACGTTATAAATCTTGAATGCAGTTCAGGTTATGCTGAAAATAGAATGTACATTATATCATTCATACATTTGAAGCTAATGAGAAGCTGATGAAGTTAGTGTTTGGTATAAAAATACAGTTTTGGACCAGAAACTAAAAATGATTCATGATTATCAAAAGTTTGAAAATTGGCTTCAATACAGAGCTCCATTTACAATGTGTGGTTTTAAAGCATTACAAGAGAAGCACTGCAAGTGAACACCGTCAATAAAAAGCTTTTCATTTTAATTTATTAAACCTTCTTCTTTGTATTTTCCAGGAGAAAAACTCTAAATATTACAACTACACACTGTCGGTGAACGGGAAGGCTCAGAAACACGGGGCGGACTACAGCAAAGACTACCTGACAGACGTACTGGTGAGAAACACACACATATTGTATTTTAGTACATGTCACTGGACTTTTCACATTTCTTCTTTATTTTTTCATGTTAGCCACAAATGAAAAGCATCACAGATTTATTTATTGGCTGTTCTTACTTTAAAAAAATTATGTTTAATATAATTTTTGTCACATTTATTTATTTTTTTAAAGATAAATTAGAAGAAAAGATTCAAACTGGCCTCTTTAAGATAAATCACTGGGTTTACTCATTGAGTAATTCATCCATTTAATTATTTCCCGAGTGTAAATGATCATAATTAAATTAAACTCTGTGCGTGTCTTCTCTTGTCTCTCAGGCCAACATGTCTCTGGACTTCCTCCAGTATAAATCCAGCTACCAGCCGTTCTTCATGATGGTGTCCACGCCGGCCCCCCACTCACCCTGGACAGCGGCCCCTCAGTACCAGAGCAGCTTCAACACCACCAAGGCTCCCAGAGACCCCAACTTCAACGTCCACGGGAAGGTCGGACTCGTTCCATCAACGTTTAAAATCTCACAGTCATGTAATATATGAAAATCTTCTAACTTTCTCGTTCTCTGTTCAGGACAAACACTGGCTGATCCGACAGGCAAAAACCCCCATGTCCAACTCCTCTGTTCAGTTTCTGGATGATGCCTTCAGGAAACGGTCAGTCTCTTTACCTCCTCACCTTCCTCTTTCTTTTTTCCTCCTCATCTGCTTCTTCTTTTTCCTCTTTATCTTCACTACCTCTGCTTCTTTCTTCTACTTATATATCTCAAGAATTCCTCAAGGAATTTCTTTTCTCGTGAGTTTAACATTTCAAGAGAACTTCCGGAGAATCTGTTCACATTTAGCACAAACTTTCAAGGTGACGTCACAAAACATGTCTGCCACTTGAACCCAACAACTATGTCATTCGAAAGTCTCCTCAAATTCTGACCAGTTGTCACTTGGACTCAAAGTTGAACTGATTAGGGTCGTCAAAGGTCACAGTGATGTCATGAGTCTGAAAGAACATGTATGTTGACTGAAACTGCTTTGGTTGGTGGAGGCAAACAACCACAAGGTGTTCATTCTATTTTCAAATCCTAGTTTCTGTTTAAAGTTCAACTTCAACTGACTTTTCATCCATTTCCTCTTTTAGCCTGAAGAAACACTGAAGCACTTTTACTCAGAACATATTTGATGAGAAACGACTGCAGTATTTGGATTGTAACTTTATTTTGAAAAGTCTCAGTACAGTAAGCTGTAGATTCTCAGTCTGTCGTCGTTGCTCCTCCTGACCTGTAGGTGGCGAACGCTGCTCTCAGTGGACGACCTGGTGGAGAAAATAGTGAAGAGGTTGGAGGTCAGAGGTGAACTGGACAACACCTACATCTTCTTTACCTCTGACAACGGGTATCACACTGGTACGTGCACACGTGTGGACACAAAGGTTGATATGTCGAGGTTTCCAACACATGTCAGCCATCTTTACGTCTACAGAGATAAATATGCTTTGTTCCTTTTCACAGTCTCATGATTTCAAATACAGATTCACAAATAGAGTTTAAAAAAGTGAAGTTGCCTCTCTCTGTTTCCATGTTTTCATCTTTTCTATCTTTGTTCCTCCAGGTCAGTTCTCTCTTCCTCTGGATAAGAGGCAGCTCTACGAGTTTGACATCAAGGTTCCTCTCATGGTCCGAGGACCGAACATCAAACCCAACCAGACCACCCAGGTACAGGCATGTTTGAAACTAAGATCAGACCTTGTTCACTCGCTTTGCTCCTCCTACGATAAAATGTTTGTGATGATGTTAATGGAACTAATCTAAACTGCAGTTTTTGTTATGTATTCTTTGTGTCAGTGAAATGAGGAAATCGTTTTTTCTCTGCTGAAGCTGAGAAATAAATCCCATTTATCAGATAAGTAACACGATTTGTTGACCTGAACTAAATTCATCACGTTGTCAGATGCCGGTGGCGAATGTTGACCTGGGTCCGACCATCCTGGACATCGCCGGCTACAACATCAACAAGACACAGATGGATGGCATGTCCTTCCTGCCCGTTATGGTGAGATCATGATTTCTTTTTCAAACAAATACAAAACAGACCCATGTTTGAATCCCAAAAGTCAACACAGAGAGATGAAGCTTGCTCATTCATTTATTCCGTCAAGACATGAACCCGTCATTCTTCTGATTAGATCATTTTCAAACAGAAATTCATCCACTAAAACCAGTTTCTAAATCAATATGAGCAGAGAAACACGTCACATGCAGCATGTGATGAAACTAAATAACTTCTCTCAAGGGTTCAGAGACTCGTGTTTCCTAGTCGAGGTTCATCTGTGTTTTAAACAGACTATCATTGGAATTACTTTTAAAAAGAACGAGACATATTTTTATCATTCTTTTTTTAATGTTCCTTACGTCCAGTTTAAATATTAAAAGATAAACAAAATGAATGAATAAGACACTGATTCCCAGATTAATGATTTTATTTATTATTTCATAACATGTGAAAATAACAGACCCATGTTTACGGAATGGTTATTAAAGATTGTTATATTTATATCATAAATGTGATAATTTGTGTGTCACCAGGAGGGGAAGGTGAACAGCAGCAGCTGGAGAACAGACGTCCTGGTGGAGTATGAAGGCGAAGGAAGCAACGTGTCCGACCCCGCCTGTCCTTTACTGGGACCCGGCGTCTCGGTACGGACTGACGGAGAGATCGAACAATAAGATCCATTGTAGGGTAGACACTGAAAAAAACAATTGTCTCTCTCCTCTGTTCTTTTTCTTCAGGAGTGTTTTCCAGACTGTGTGTGTGAGGACTCGTACAACAACACCTACGCCTGTGTGCGAACTGTCGCCCCCTCTGCCAACCTGCAGTACTGCGAGTTTGATGACAACCAGGTACAAGGTCCTCGTCATCTGATGACTCTTTTTATTTGTAACCAGAAAAGTCATGTAATGTTTTAATGTGCTGTTAAGAATCATGTAACTCCGTGTGGTATTACAAAGAATAACAGTGACAAACGTGTTCGGATCATCTAGTTCTACAGTTAAATAGCGGCGTATCTTCATCCCCTGTAGGTGTTCGTAGAGGTCTACAACGTCACAGCTGACCCCTACCAGCTGACCAATATCGTAGGTTCTATCGGCAAGGACTTCCTGGAGAAGATGAACCACCGGCTGATGATGCTGCAGTCCTGCTCCGGGCAGACATGTCGGACACCCGGTGTGTACGATCCAAGGTCTGTGCTGCTAAGTCTGATTTTTTATAACCTCTGACTTCTATATTAGAGTAAAGTGATTTAATGTCATTTTCAATTCCATTTGATTTGTACGGTATTTTAGGTATTTTCCAACATGTTTGCATTAATTAAAATGTCATGTGTTTGCTCAGGTATAAATTTGACCCTCGACAGATGTTCACTAGTCACAGCTGGCGGCTCAACAGATTGAGACAGAAGATGAAGTAAGAAGAGCGGAGGAAGGAGGGCTGTTTGTGGTTAACGGCCGCTCCGGTTGTTGTTGCCTAGTTTTTCGGGGCCTCCTGAGCCAGTCGCTTTTGAAGATGGATGGTGAAGGGATCCTACGGTTTGGTATCGGCAGATTACCATGAGGACGTGGGCCTGTGAGTGCAAGACCCACTTTTTTTAAAGCTCTCAGATTGGGCTCCTGTTTAGTGAGTCTGTGAGTAGGTGTGCAGAACGACCAAATTGTTATTACAGGCTGATTTAATTTGATTCATAAACAGGCCCTATATTTTCTCGTGAAACTTTGCTTTTATTTCCTGAAAATTATCTGGTATTTTGCAGTGTTTATTTGTGATTTTGGACGTTGTTTTGTTTAATCGACTTTTTCGAAGTCGTGCTGTTTTTTTGGAAAATCTTAAAACGTCATTACTTCCGAAATCTCGAAAATACGACATGACTTCCGAAATCATGACATAGTAAGGTATGACTTGCGAAATCACACAGAAAAACGACATGACTTCCGAAATCACGAAAAAACGACATGACTTCCAAAATCAGGAAAAAACGACATGACTTCCGAAATCACGAAAAAACGACAT